TTTCTGGAGATAAAGCTCAGCATCTCACTCCTAGGCCCTACAGTTCCCAAATCATTGGGCAATTTCAACTTCTGGTCTCAGCCATACGCTAGAACATGAGGTTCCCCAGGTCCCTCACTCTGAGGGAATGTCTGGAGAGAAAGCTTCAGAAAGAGGTTAAATACAGGGGAAGAAAACATACCAGCTAAGAGAAAGAGGATCCTCAGGCTTATCGTTCTGCCAAGCATTCTGGATCTTCGGCGAACTGATAGTAGGAGCCCAACATGCACGGAAAGTGCCTAGCTAGACGCAAATGAAAAGGAGAAGGATGTTTTGCTCAAGATGGAATTTCACCACCTCAGGAGGAAATTACAGTATGTCCCTCAATGTAAAAAGGGTTGTTCTTCCTTTTCCTACTGCAAATAGAATTTAAAGCCTCCCAGAAAAGCCAAAGGGTTGACACACCGCCTGTGACCTCAGCCATGGAGTAACTTACATGCAAGGTTCTGAGCATGAGTCTCTTCTCACGCCGATTTTATACTGGTGTGATTCCACGGACTTCAACAGAGCTATGGAGTCCTCCCGGTGATCTCAGCTGTACAAGTGTAAATTCAGAGCTACTTCAATGGAGCTACTCCAGATTTACAGCAAGTGTAAGATCTAATTCAGGCCCTAGATCTTGTAGTAATTTCCTGGGCTCTTCCTGTACATCCATGGATTGCAGCTTTCCAGCCACAACTAAGAACCTTTTTTATTTCTCTAACTCTCCAAATACTTTACAAGCTATTTGGGAATCACTTCCCCCGTGACTGAGGGGGGCTTCCTGAAGTGGAACACAGGACTGCTTGCATAACACTTTGACAGGAAATGATGAATAAACTCATGACTGGCTGAAAGGAAAGACGTCCTAGTTGAAAGCTAGCAGTGGGGACGAGCAGAACAAATGAACCAGTCCAGGTAGAAATGCAGCGGCTGGATGTCAGAGGTGCAATAATGGACATAGTCTTGCATATGCATGTGTTTTAAGGCTCCTCGCTCTCAGCCCAACGTAGAGTGTTCACCTTTCATAGCTCCCGGATTGAGAGCTGGGCTCTTTGACTAAGTTACCGTTGAATTACAGAAACTCATGAAGTTCCTTGGTGGGTCCCTGGTAGGTTGGCCAAGATGGCGGCTTCCCCAGCGTGTGGGTGGGTACGCACTAGCGTTGTGTGGCCCAGGTATCCCCCAGCCCGGCTCCGCCCCCTGACTGAGCCCCCCCCACACCCACTGGCAGCCTAACCCAGCCCCCATCACTCCTGCCTCCTCCCCGCTGGGATCAGAGCATGGACCACTTGGCCAGGTGCATGATGGGAGTTTCACTCCCTCTGCAGCATCCTTAAGGCCCGCCAGGGCAGGGGCTGTGGGCTGGGCTACGGGCTAGATGGACCAATGGGCTGATTTGATATTGGCAGAGGCGGGGAGTGCCCTGCTACTGCGTGATGGGCAGGCTGGCTGGGCCAATGAGGTAATCCGATCCTGCCGGG